TTATTTTGAAAAGTCTCAACAGGATCTTGAGCTTTATTGTGAAAGGTTTACGTGGAAAACAAACAAGCGGACAGCGGAGCCGCGCGATGGTTTTACCGTTTTATCGTTGCTAACAAAAACACTTAAAAACAGGCACTTGTCCGCCCATAGTGTGGTTATATTAAATATAAGAGAAAGAGAGAACTTTAATTAATATAGCCACTACAGTGACCATCAAAACGATGAAAAATATTGCTGTAAACAGTTTATTTTATGACACCACGAAACAAACGATAGCATAATAGGAAACGATAGACGTTTTTATATTGTCATCCGATATACATCGTTATATGAACAGCCCTACCTCAAGGTGCTTTATACTGTAAGATAAAGCCCATATAATAATACAGAGAAGACCCCAACAATGACATAAACCCCTATGAGCAAGCACTTGGTGACAGTGGTAAGGAAAACTCCCTTTTCAGTGAGTCAGGAAAGGTGGCCATCTGCAAACATTCACCAGATACTCGCTGGGCTGCGGTGAAACATGTGATGCCTGAAAAGGCAACCCTTTGTCTTCAATGTAAAAATTATGCTTTTACTTTGAAGGTTTCACTACCGCTCAGCGTGTTTTCAGACAAGCTGGTCTTCCCTGTGGGAATCTGCTAATGACCAAAGTAATCAAAAGGATGTTTTCAGTGTAGCACACTCTGCGACCAGTTTCACCCGGCAACCACTTGCCAACCAGTTGAGGACTGGTTTCATTTTTCTGGGTCACTGTCCGCAGCATCTGCCTGACACTGGCATCTTCACGACGCTTTGCTTTGTAATGTTTTTGACTGGTCAAACATGCGTTTGTCACCATCTTGCTCAGGATTTAGAACTGTAATATTCAATTTAACATTATAACTGTCAAAATACTGTCCACATGTGGTGAGCATGTTGTTTATTCCTATTTTAATGTGCAGCATTTGAAAACACCCGACTCAGAAAACCTGGTAAAAATTCAGTGAGTTATGATGATTTTGGATCTGGATTAAGATAATTATGGATCGACCTTCTACCTCAGTCCACCTCTGCTGTATTTTTATGTATTTATGTTGGTTTGGAAAGACTGAGCTTGGGTTTGATTTTCTTGAAATTAATTTATGTGTCAGGTCTTTTGATATAAATCTCCATGGAAGTCCTTATTTCTAGGTGTTTTTTCTTTGTGTTAATTGTTTTTAATAATATAAATTTACTTTCAGGTTTTCCGTGCTCTTTGAGCTGCGAGGGCCGTGGGAATTTATCACATTAAATCACACATGGATTATTCTCAGCAGTTGTTTCAGTCCTGATCAACCATCAGTCGAAGCAAATTAACGGCGGCTGTGGTTAGGAAGGAGAGTTTACTTTTTGGGCACTGAAGGTCTGAACTTTCAGCACAAATACACGATTAGTAGGTAGCAGCTTCAGGATTTAATTACAGAGCGTGTTAACGTGACGAAACCTCTGATCTCGCGATTTCAGGTTCTGTTACATCGGCTTATCTGTCAGCGCTGGAAACAGTTCTGAGGATAAATCCTGACTCTGGTTCCAGGCGAATAACGCCGGTGTTCCACGTGCCGCCGACAGCTGATTGGATCCAGGAAGAATTCATTGATTAGACCTGACAGAATAATTAGAAGGCAGATCAGATGCAGGCTGATGCCTCAATTAATCTGCTGGATTTAATTCATGAGTCAGATGGAAACTTCACATCCTGTCAGAGGCAGCGAACCTCACTGCTTCCATCATCGCCTCAGTCGTGAAGCTTAGAAGGTGTGGAAATGTCCGGCCTCCATTGTCTGGCCACTCAATCCCTGAAATGTGCTCTCTGGCAACTTTTGTTCTTATATATGTGTGAATATGTATGAATCAGTATTAATTACACTGGTCTGCAAAAACCAAAGCTAAATATTTATTGTTTATTGCTGGAAACTTCAGACTGGCTCTTTATCGGTTTACACAGATATGACTTAAGCTTCCACGTCATGGTTTTGAGCTACAGATCACTGATGTTTACACTGACTGGAATTTTAACTTTTCCTGCCAAAATAATTTAAAATGTTTGCTCTGAAAAGAAATCAGGAGAGACTTAAAGCAAATCTCTGTAAATTCAGACAAAAATAAAACGAGGTCAGCGTTGCTCACATCCGTGTCTCTTTTCAAAACCCAACAGTAGCCACTCTTCAAGCTCAGATTCAGTTTTCCCTGATATCAGTTTTCCATCACTTTTATATCTTGATAAAGTCTTTCTCCACGATGTCATCGCACGATGACACGGCACGATGTCATCGCTCTTCGCTGACATCATCCCGATCTGGTGGGAAAAAGTTGAGATGAGACTGCAAAAAATCTGCAGTGATATTCTGGCATTCATGTTCTCAGCAAGCTCAGCAGGACAACCGGCACAAGCGTTTCCCGTTACCGCGGACTCAGCTGTCGTGTCCTGGGTCGTATTTGTGAGCTTTGCATCTTTCTGGCCTGTTCTTTAGTGTATTTAGTCTGTTCCTAGTTCCTGGTTGCTTTAGAGCAGGGGTCCCCAATCCCAGTCCACGAGGGCTGGTGTCCTGCAGGTTTTAGATGTGTCCTTGATCCATCACAGCTGATTTAAATGGATAAATTACCTTCTCAACATGTCTTGAAGTTTTCCAGAGGCCTGGTAATGACTAATCATGTGATTCAGGTGTGTTGACCCAGGGTGAGATCTAAAACCTGCAGGGACACCGGCCCCGGGGACCAGAGTGTCAGACTTGTTTTACTTTGTGGGCCACATACTGCCCACTTTGAGCTTAAATGGGCCAGATGAGTCAAAGTCGTTCTCTCAATCTAAAAACGTTTAATTACACATTTAATCCCTGAGGTAACTAATCAACTGTAGCAGAAATCTGTTACTTCTTTACTTTGGTGGTGTCTGAATGGCGATGAAAATGCCAGTATAGTATGAGACGCTGTAAAAATCTAATCCCTCCTTCACTTTTTCCACAGCTGTCCAGTCGGCCGAATTAAGACTCTTTGATGGGCTGATTCTGGCCACCGAGCCGTCTGTTTCACACTCAGTGCTTCATCCTACTGTGTCATTCCTCCAGTATTAAGTCCATTCATGTGTTTTCCCCATTTGGTTATCTTTCTTCCTGCTTTATTTTGAAAGTCAGTTGTTCCTTGTACTCTGCTTTCACTTGTCCTCCCCTGTGTCTTTTTCTTTGATTTAGTTCAGCTGAGTTTTGTTCTCTCAGCTGTTTCCACTTCCTCTTGCTTATGTTTATATAGTCGCCGTCTCCTCTTGTCCGTCATCAGAGCGTCTGTTCTTCATGCCCCAGAGTTTTCCAGCCAGCTGTTTTGATCATGGTGATGTCACATGCTGCTGTGCTGAACTGCAGAACCGTCGCTGTGCTTTCCTCCATTTAAAAAGCTGAGAAAAGTTTAACTTTTAAAATGCAAGCGCTGTTCAAATCAAACTCAAGTCACGATATTCTCATCCTCTCAGGGGTGGATGTCCTGAGAGAATGAGCTAGTTCTTGTTCTTGGGTACAGGAATAAAGTTTAGCAGTCAGCTAGTCTGGATCACGCTAATGGCTAATTAAACCTAAATATGATGACGTGTAAGCAAAGACACCCCCGCAACATCAGGCCCGTAACACCTACGTGTGAATCTGGCCTGAGAGAGAAGCGAAAGAGGATTTTGCAACTGAAGCAAACCTGGCTGACGACAGAGAAACAGAAGGCACGGCTTTTTATTTAGAGTGACACGGCTTATGGAAAAAAACGGAGGTTTGGGCAGCGAGGTGGTGAATGCATTTCCCTCGAGACTATGACTCAAAACAAAGAAAAGGCCTGGCATCAGAGCTGAAACAGAAAAATGGCAAAAGAAAAAGAAGGACGAAGGCGGAGGACGAGGACGAGGAGAGCCCGGCATGTCAGCCCAGGATGAGAAACTACGATTATTGAAAATAAAAAGCATCCATCAGTGCTAATTACAACTTATAAGTTTAAAATATTAAAGAAACGAGAGTAAGTGGAAGGCTGAGAGCCTTTTTAAAGATGTAATGCATTTGCATTTATGGTGTTTTTCTAATCTTACTGACCACTCAAAGCACTTGAGCCTACAATCACATTTTAACCATAGACTCATGCAGCACTTTGTTCTACATCACTGATTAACGCAGCACTCATGTCTGTCGACTGTTTATGGGGACAGGCAGACCTGAACTAGCCTGCGATGTCTCAGCGCTCCAATGTACAGACATCATGTCACAAACGGAAAACTGACTAAAACAAGAAGCGCATTAACCAGTGAAAGCAGAGGATTAGACACTACTTCATCAGTGCTCTATTGCTGATTTTTACGCTACTTATAAATCTTTATGAACAGTTCCTTTGATAATGTCTCTGACTGGAGTAGGCAGCACAGAGCAACCTCCACCAACCACTCCCCAACCGGTTGGAGAACAGACCTTTTTCCCCTAGTAGGTAAGTGTCATTTATTTATACAGCACATGTAAAAGTCAAAGTGCTTTGCGATAAAAATAAAAACCTTGGGGGTCATGAAAAAATGTATGTATTTACATAAAGTAACGCAACGATAACCTGATCCAGATAACAGCCAGGGTACATCGCTCTAGTGGTTCCCCTGTGTCTGCCAACCAGTCGCTGAGCCTGTGTGACTGAAGCCTGGCAGAGCGAGAGGATCACCACCCACCAGCTCTGACTGAGGTCGTACGTTTTATCAAGCCAGCTAACTCACAGAAAGCTTGGCTGTCGAAGGCGTTTGGCAGCGACACACTTTGTGCGCTGTGCTGACCGTGCGTTTGTAACTGCAGGCTGTGTTTCAGGTGTTTGTTCACCTGTTTGCTGTCCCTTCAGAAGCTAAAGGAGACAACACCGGGAAGTTCTCAGAGATGACCACTGAATGAACAACAGACCCTCCTCTCTGCTCCTCTGCCATCTGGGGAGGGGGGGTGTCTCCTCCACCCTTGATGGAGCCGAGCGCTGCAACTCACCGATGAAGCCGAGCTGAGAGAACTCCAGGATCATCCAGTCCTCCGACGGCTGCTGCAGCGCAAAGTTCTTCATGGTGGTGAAGAAGTTTGGGCGAGCGACTATATCGTCCTCTAACTGCAACAGAGAGAGAGAGATAGAGAGAAAGACACAGTTTAGTTTCCTCCTTTAACTGTGTGTGTGCGTGTGCCCTCCAAAACAAAAAACAAAAGCCTGCTTAACGTTAACACGCACAAAATGCCAAAATGAAAAACCGCCTCAATGAACTCCTCAGATGAAGATCAAAATAAATGTGCTGAATGTGAAGAAGCAAGAGGGGAACAGAGGGAGAGGTGAGGTGGAAGCAAGAGGCAGATCATTTAAAACCCTCCAATCAGACATTTTCGCAAGAAGTCTGGATCTTGCTTTTTTATTACTTATAACACAGATAAACATCCATAAACCTGTTCAGGACATCACGGAGCACAGAGCCAGAGGAACTCTCTGGAGGTTTGTAGCATTAAAAGTCAGTCACAGTTCAAAGATGCAATCATAAACCGGTAAAAGACAAACGGTGGCTCCAAAAACCATCAGACTGTGAGAAAAATGTCAATAAAAACTCAGAGTTTTTATTGTTACTAAGAAAGCAATGCACATGCAAACTTTAACAGGGTTTCCGCCTCTCGCCTCGTCTCAGCGACGGAATCAGTAAGACTTCAGCAGAGAAGCCAGACTCAACATTTCTGCTCCTGATCTCAAACCAGAAGAAGACGCTCCATAAACGCCAGCCTCCTGACACACATCTTCCCGTTTCGTCCCCGGGGGAGTCGACAGAGTAATTACCTCCTCCACCCCCTCGCCTCACCGCTGCTCCGTGCAGACAGCGAAAACTCTGCAAAGTTCAGAGAGAATTTAGGTGTCAAAACAGCGTGTCGGCTCCGTGTTCCTGTCAGAAAGCTTCGTGTGGGAGCAGCCGAAGCTCCGCCGCCCCCAGCTGAGATGATGTCGGCGAGACTGCTCCATCACAGGAAAGTAGCCAGAAAAATAACCGGGCTCAGCTCCGGCAGGCAGACCAGCGTTCAAGTCTGCGGCTCACAACAGCCCAGCGCACAGAGCGCCACATCCATCTGCAGAGCTTCCTGCTCGCCATTCTGTCCGAAAATGCTGGAAAATGCAGATTTTATTTGCTTGTCACAAACACCTCCCGCCGGCCTCGACCTCTGACATCACCTGTCTTTGAGGAAAATGTCATCTTTCATCATTTCAGTGGAATTTATTCGTCTTTGTGACGGTTTCACATCTATTGGTCGTCACTTTCTGTATTTTCGTTCAGTTGCTCTTTGGTTGACCTTCGAACGCCGAAGTAGGCTGGTTTTATAATTCAGCCACATTCAGGAACAATCAGGCTTTGAATAAACAACATTTCAACAGTATTTCACAGACGTCACCTTTAAGCAGTAAAAAGTGTGCATTTTTCTTTAGTTTTTACACCGATTATTTTAAACTAACACTCAAAACACTCAATAAATTCACCACGATCACAAGCAAGCCTCGTCAGGTGAGGATGAGGAGGGCAGGAAGTGAGAAGTGACTGAGAGAATATGATCCACATTCAAAATAAAAGCCCCGAGAGCCAAAAAGTCAAACAGAGCTTCTGAAAGTGTGATCTGATGCTCTGAACAGAACAAAAGATCAAAACAGAAGAAGCCGTGAAGAAGAAGAACAGAAAGAGGAAAAAGAAGTAAGGAGGAGAAGGAAGAAGAAGAAGAATCCAGGGAGGAACCATTATGAATAAGAAATGAAAGAGAAGAACAAAAAGAAGGGAAAAGAAGAAGGACAAGGAGATTAAAGGGCCGGGAAATGTAGGATAGTTTGGTGTGCTTTTAAACGCTGCACTTCTCCTCTGCTGCTCCGCATCAGCAGCTTTATCATCAACGAGCTCAGATAATTAAAGGTTAGCGAGCGTAACGAAGCGGACGGCAGAGCCAAAGACATGAAGCCTGCGCTTTTAGGTTTCATTTAATTTTTATTAGCATGAGAGAAAATATCAGAAGCAGGACGTGACACGGGACGCTTTTAATTCATGAGCTGGTGAGACGCACCTGAATGCAACACCGGCTTCAGTGTGAAGCCGGTCGGGTCAGGCTGTTTAATTTCATATATGTTTATGAGGTGTTTTTAAGACCTCTGGAGGACGCCGGGTTGTATGCAGGTCGCGAGGAAGCAGGTGAGCTAAAGATCACTTCCTCTCATTTCCTGTTTATTCAGATAAACGCCTTTCTGTCCCACATGTCGAGGAGGAGGACGAGGGACGAGTCCTTCTTCTTTTCATCTTTAAAGGGAACAAAGGCTCTGTGACAGCGCCACAGTGACGCGTCCATTAGTCTACCCACAATGCAACAGTTTCATCATCATCTTCAGACACCAGCAGGATTACATCACAGAGACCTTTTATCTTAAAACTTCATCGCATTCAGAGCGCGACTCGTTTTGTTTCTGTGGAGAGACGACTGTTTGCTGAGAGCTCACGTGAGGTCACGTTAACGTTCCCAAGGGGCTGCATGAGGGGCCGCACGAGGAGCTGAGACTGATGCGAAGGGCCGCACCAAGAACCTTAACTCAGTTCTGCTCATTATTAATCTTATCTTACAGGCTTATTGCCGTGACCCTCTATAACAGTCCCATGTCCTCATGTGACCCCTCGGGAAATTAACCGTCCACACCCGATTTACTCCGAGACTCGAAAAACAACCAAAACGTGACGTCCGTCAAACGCCTACAAAGAGACACAGCCTGACCAAAATCTGACCTGAATCAGAAACATCAAACAGAAAGTAACCACAATGTGTTTCAAAAGGGTACGAAGGAACACAAATGACCAAGATGAGGCACAAAACAATCCCACAGCGATACAACTGGACTAAAAAAATGAGACCTGAAATGACCCAAATACACAAAAACAAACAAAATGTGACAAAAAAAGGACAAAGACGATAAACCTGAGGAACACGTGTCCAAAAATCACCACCAAGTGAAACGACAGCCTGACCCAAATGTGACCAGACGACGAAAAACGAACTAAAACAGACAAAAAGATGCAACCTGAAATGACCACAGACTCTTCTTCCAGCTGCTCCCTTTAGGGGGCGCCATAGCGGGTCATCTGCATCTCCTCCCATCCCAGCATCCCCCTCTGCATGTCCTCCTTCACTGCATCCATGAATCTCCTCTGAGCTTTTCCTCTTTTTCTCCTTTCTCCAGTAGACCCATCCTCCCTCCTCTGCACATGTGCAAACAATCTCAACCTCTCTGACTCTGAGCCGTCCCTGTGATGGACACGTTTCTGTTCCCCTCCACGATGCTCACTCCTGTGAAAATGTGACCTCGGCCTCCGTCTCCAAACCAGACATCACAGCCACAGACGCCAAATCAACCAAAATCTAACGAAAAATTAAACCTAAAGACCAAAATACGGAGTAAAGAGTGAAAATATGCAAATGATTAGAGATGTGAAAAAGCAAAAAGGAGATCAAAGTCCTCCCAGGAGCTCTGCAAACACACGAGGACGTGTCATCTGAATTTACACTTACATGATCCTGATCATTTCTGAGCACGCCCCCTTCTCCTTAATCCTGCTTTTGGAAAAGCAGACTAGTTTTAAAGGAAAGATCCAGCAGTGAGCATAATTTTTATTCACCACACAGCAACGAATCATTTACCAGAAAATCCACCGATAAACACGCAGCGTTCACTCTGACGTGAAGCGGAATGAACAATTTATCTCAACTGTCAGGTTCATTCATTTATCTTTGGCCCCACCCCCAGGATTTTGGCACAAACACATGAAATGACCGAAATGCTTAAAAATAACCACAGACAGAGAGAAAGACCAGCGGCTGCTCGCCGAGCTTCTTCTTCTTCTGTTTCTCTTTACCTGGACGTAGTAGGTTCCTTTAGACTGAGCGTACATCATCAAGAAGCAGTAGTCCAGGTTCTGCTTCGTCCTCCACCTGAAGAAGAGGGGGAGGAGTTAATGTGTTAATGCAAGTATACCTGCACCTCTTCTTCTGAGACACACACACACAGTTACTGCACATGCACACACGCCATTGTGACATCATCCATTGGTTAATGGGTTGCTATGGAGCTGTTGCTATGCTGGTGTTTTAAAGTTGGATGTTACGGTCGAAACGAGTGTAAGCGACTTGTAGCTCCACCCTAAATCACACTCTGCTGTTTCATCCTTTCTCCCCTAAAATCAGCGACTGAGACCAAAAGGAATACTGACCAGAGGAGTCGCCCCCCTGCTGGACATTAGAAAGACTGCACATCACCTGTCCACATGTACCACGCCTCCCCTCAGAGAGTAAAGCAGGACATCTCCATCGCTGAGCAGAGGTGGAGGGTTACACACACAGATCAGTCTGTTTCTGTTTGAGACTGCTCACAGCCTTGTGGATGTTCTCGAGTAACCACATGTTTTTCAAGTGTATTCTTTGGGCTCTTCTACGGATACAAGCGCCATTTACTTTCACTGTAGTTAAGGAAAGTCAGTTTGGCAAAGCTAAGCAAGTCAAACACGACTGTGTTGGATAAACAACGCTGCAGCCCAGAGGCAAAATATGTAGATGTGATTTTGGAGTGAACCTCTCCTTCTCAAGTACGTGTGATCTTATAAGTGGCAAAGACAAGGCAGCGTGTATTTGTTTCTTCATGAAAGTCAATTATCCAACGAGAACCACAAAGGTCCACAAAACAACCACAAATACACAAAAAAGCTACAAAATAGAGAAAAATAAGACAAAGAGGCAAAAAAAATGAAAGAATGAAAATAAATGAATGAATGACCGGAGGGGGGGGGAACTGTTCCCTTAATCGTGGAGCTGATCTCATCGTCTGTTCACCTGTAAAATGCCTGTTTGTGGAATAATAAACACTGAATGTTTGTGTGTTCACGCTGCTCACACACACTAAACAGGTAACAACTGTCTCTGACACACACAGAGGAAGCACATCCAGCACGATCAAGGTTGTAGCTCTGCAGGTTTCCATCGACGCCTTCGGCCCGCGAGGTGGGAAAGAGAGCGCGCCGCGAGCTTCAGGCGCTCGCAGAAACAGAACAAAGCAATCAGCGGTGAACTGAATCGGTGTGTTCACAGACGAGGTTTGCTAAACACACAGCTCGATATTTACAGAGCGAGCACTCAGCTGTTTGAGGTGTCAGAGCTCAGAGGGTTCCTGCTGCTGCATGCGAGTTTACCGCCGTCTGTTTAATGCTCGATAAGTTCTCAGGAAAAAAGAGAAATCGATAATGAATTCTTTATTTTAACAGGGAAGTCACTAAAATCTGATTCATAACTTATACACTGGTAACGGTTTATATGTTGACACTTCATCAGAACAGGGCGGAGTGATCAGTCTGCATCCACAGACCGTGTGACCATCACACAGATACAGACACCTGCTAATCAGAGCTCAGTGATGATGTCATTAAAAATGCTCCAACAGTAACAACTTACTAGTTACTGTTATGTCTCTCTAATCACCTTTTTCTGAGCCTCAGAGGCAAAGGTTAGAAATCAAACCAAAGGACTTGTTTTCTTCTTCTTCTAACTTCTCCCTTTAGGGGTCACCACAGTAGATCATCCCAGCATGCTCCTCTGTCACGCCAACCCTTTGCATGTCCTGTTTCACCACATCCACAAATCTTCTCTGAGCTCTTCCTTCTGCCTCGCAGCTCCATCTTTAACACCATTCCTCCTCTGCACACATGCAAACTTCCATCCTGAGCTGTCCCTCCCAACAAAACTCTCCAGCTCGGCCTTCTGTCCTTTTGGCCGTCTCCAAACATGCATTACAGCAAGTCTCTATTCAGATTTGGACATTTTAACATGTTGTTTTCGTTCTTTCAGTGATATAGTTTGATGCTTGAGGGTAAAACAGAAGTGAGGTTTTATGTTAGTGCGTTTAACTTTTTTGTGTCATTAAACATATAAAAGCAGAAGGATGGTGCAAACAAACGAGGCCAGATTTGTCCAGAAGCATAAAAGCTCCTCATGTGTCCATCCACACTGACCAGTGGAGGTCTGCAGCTTTGTGCAGTGAGCAGGAGCACATGATCATAGTGCCAGAAAAACATCCCACACATCTCAGGGTCAAAATAAAAAACAAAGCATTAAAAGATGCACTTTGTTGAAGGGGTTTGTGCAGCATGTGATAAACACATGAGGTGCCACTCCTTCAGTTAAGAAAACCCATCCACGCCTCCATTGTCTCTTTATTGCGCCATAAAAAAACGATCTACGCTCATCTCCTCACGCGGCACTTTAAAGGCTTATTTTTACTGTTGGGAGTCAATAGACTTTTTATAATCCCACCGAGGTCTAAGAAACAATCCCGGGAAAAAGAGGCTTTTATAGCAAAACAGTAAAGTTAACACAGAGGCTTTCTTGTCTCGCACTCCCTCGCGGCGATCGGCGAGGCGATTTAAGGCGACAGGGAGAGTCAGCTGGTTCTACACGCAAAGACTCGAGTGTTTCCAGATAAAACAGAAACGATTCTCTGGCAGCTTCTTTCACAAAAACAGCAGCAGCGTGACCAAAGAGGCATCACTGCACTTTCACAGTGCTTCCACGCTGCGTTCAGTCAAAAAGGCCAAACACACAGCTTCTGAGCAGAGACGTCATTCATGCTTAACATCCTTTAAAGGTCAAACCGTAGAAGCTCACGTCACTGAGATTATTCTAAAACAAACACGACAGACAAATTAAAAACTAAAAAAACAAACTTAATGACGCCTTATTGCAGCTATAATCACTTATGATCACATATTTACAGCTAAGCGTTAATCATGTTTACTCTTTACTATAAATTCTCCTGTGAGAATGTAACAATATTACAGCTCAGGTTATTATATTATTATTGTTATCAGTTTACACACTAGAGGCCAGCAGTCTCAGAGCTCCAACAAGCTTCAACAAGTTCTTATATGAGTAAGAAAAACTGAAGTTTGTGCTGTGTTCTTGAATCAGCATCATGACCATGTCAACTCCTCTAAAGCAGGGATGGAGAACTCCAGGCCTCGAGGGCCGGAGTCCTGCAGGTTTTAGATGTGTCCTTGATCCAACACAGCTGATTTAAATGGCTAAATTACCTCAGCATGTCCTCAAGTTCTCCAGAGGCCTGGAAATGAACTACTCATTTGATTCAGGTGTGTTGACCCAGAGTGAGATCTAAAACCTGCAGGACACCGGCCCTCGAGGCCTGGAGTTCCCCACTGCTGCTCTAAAGGATTTCCTTAAACCTGACCTGTGGTCATGTTTATTTATGTATTTGAACTTTATTGGTAACTGCTGCATTTCAACACAAAGATCTGGACTTTCTCTTCCTTACACTTTCCAAACAGAAGTGTGCAGTCATGCACGATGCCAGACTCGTGCTGAGCAGCTGTGGTGTTCATGGTCAGAGTGATGTCACAACATCTGCTTGAATTGAAGGAGATGATACAGATACTCTGCCAGTCAGCCACGATAGCTCGTGTAACATCGTCTCATATCTTGTTGAATTCAATTGTTTAAATCCACAAACACGAGCAGCACAGCTCAGCTGGTCAAAGCCTGATCACAAAGAAAATGGAGCTCATAGTTGAAACGATTGTCACTGATTTATAAGCGATTCCTTTTCCCACGCGGCACCGCTAATACCAACCTTAAGGTTCCCACACCTGCTGAATCCCTGTTAACTCTTCTTCACTTTTACTTGAGTAAAGAAGTTAAATCAGTGCTTTAACTTTAACTGGAGCATTTTTAACACATTTATTGCTGCTTCGACTTAAGTGATCATCGTGAGTGTTTTTGCCACCTCTGCTGTGATTTTTGTTCTTCTCGTTCTGCATCCTCGTTTATAATCGTGGATGTTTGAGAAGTTCAGAAGTAAAAACAAAACTTCCAGGTGTTCTTTTTTTCACGAAGCAAGGGAAACAACAGCATTTATCCGCTGCTTTCTATTAATAAATGGTTTCTTATCGAATGCATGAATGATTGTCCTTCATTTGAAGAACATAAGTGGACAAGACAATGCAGTTTTTGTTTCCTTCTTCATGAAAGTCAATCATCCCATGACAAGCACAAAGTGTCAGGAGTGGTGACGTGAAGAAGACCCGAATGCAGGACAATGAGGCAGCTGACATGAAGATAAACACATTTTTATGACCAAAGAAAAACACCCAGCAACCAGGATACTGAATACAAGTCCACAAATACACACAAGGAGCTAAACTGGGGAACGAAACAAAGATGGACAAAACAGAAGGGAAGGGAAAACTGAGAAAGACTGTGGAGACTAATGACAGTAAAATTAAAGAAAATTATATCATAGACTAGAAGTCATCTTAAGAACAACAATAACGTTACCAGAGTCACAACTTCAACTATTAAAACAGCAGAAAAATCCAAAAAGAAACTAAACACCAACATTATAAACCCACAGTCCAAAACTCAAAAGATATACAAAGGGCGAAAAAACAAGTTTTAATAGCATCAAAAGCCCACAAAAAACTAAAGCAGTGATAAAGAGAAACAAAATCACTACAAAGACACACAGAAAGACCAAAAAATACACAAAATATCCACAAAAACAAACAACAACAAAGAACCATGAAAGAAGCACAGAAGACATGGAAACAACATAAAACAACCATGAAAGCACCACAAAAACAGACCCATCAGCTTCATACTGTACAAAGTATTTTCACTGTTGCATTGATTGGATGTAATCAGAGTTTTTCTGAATTAAAACAGGCCTCTTAACCTTAAAAGCTCCTGTGTGCGTCTAAATGGAACCATAAATATGATCAAATAAAGGTGCCTTTATTGTGAGCCCACAGGTGGAGTGTTCTGGGAGATGAACTGAATGAACAGCGGTTAGCTCGCGAGGGTGGCCGCCTGACTCGCGTCACCATCTTCCTCTCACACCGAGAGCATCGGGCCTTCGGCGGGAACCAAATTACGGCGGCAATATGCTCGCATGCAAACTGCGTTAAAAAGGAAGAGTCAGCGCAGACGTGTTCGTCTTTTGCTCACTCAGACTCTGAAGTGTTTAAGGAGCAGACAAGTTCTGCATATTAAAGTCCATTTTCTCCGAATCATTAAGTTTTCAGACTGATGTAGTCCCTTCCTGACAGCCGTTCGTCTCACTTAAACTCTGAAGAGCGTGGACACAAATCCATCACAGCTGATGTATTATCTTCTGTTTGCAGGAACGTTTCACTTTGCGAACTAATTGCTCCCATGATGCTTTAGGGTAGAGGCTGGGCTGATGTGGTAAATCTGTACACTTCTCTAGTGGTGCACAGGTGAACAAACTAATTTCAAACACCTGAAACCAAGAACTCAAACCACACAAAACAGGTTTTCGTAGCTAAAGCTAACAAAATGTAAACCCATCCTTGTGATTTGTAATATGTTAAGTTAAGTTTTTGGTACCTAAACTTAACCAGTGACTGAAAGAAAAAAATTAATTTGCAAAAAACAAAACTAGATGCAAAACATGAAGGCCCAAATCTGGATGCTAGCCATGCAGGAGGATGCCTAGAAAGGAAACAACAGGTGGCATGAAGACGACCAGTGGTGTAATATAACACAGTCTAACTTTACTAAAGCACAGTTTAAATGTACTTGTAGTATTTATTACTTTTCATTCTACTAGTATAAGTCGCTGTCCTAATATAGATAAACCTTCCCAGCAGACGTTTAGTACCTAAAATCATCACCAGCTGACATATACATTACTGAAGCCGTAGTTCTGATTATAGATTATATGAATATGAATTTAACTTAAGAGTTTTGTAATATTTGTTTCACATATTTGGTCTTTAACTCGCACCACCACTACAGAACTCTTATTTCATCTCGTCGTTACTGAATCTAAAAACCTGTTTTTGTGTTTGTGTGTTTGGATTTCAGGTGTTGTGACTCCATGTTTGATGAAAATGACAGCAGTCTATCTCTCTGAGCTCCAACAGCTGGCAAACTAAATCAACTCGTTCCTGTTGTTTGAAGAACAAGTGCATCACTCAGCCCAGGTCTCAGCTCTTCTCATCAGTTAAGACTTGCAGCCCAGGTTCTGTCTGACAGATTTTCCTTCTGCATCGCGTCTCTGGAAGCAGATATTTTCTAGGAAAGAACTGAAGATGATGTCTGCAGACAGAACGAAATCACAAAATCAGAAGATCTCCTGGTCTCTCTCTGAGATGAGTCCCAAAAGGGAAGAAGAACGCTGTTTCTTCGTCTTCCTCTGCAGAGATGTTACAGTCAGCTACCCGTTGCCGCCGTTTTCACACCAACTCACTCCAGAGCGTGTGTCACAGAGAAAACGACTCCACAAGCTTCAGATTTCAGTTTCTTCAGAGGCGGTGAATGAAAATAGCTCATCAGCACACAGACAGTGAAGAAGAGGATGAGGTGTTTCTTTTTTTTTCCTTCTCCCTTCCAATCATCTTTTCTACCTCCCTCCCTGTCCAGTGTTACCACAGGAACGGGGCCAAGGGGCGGAGCAGCAGTTCATTAAATAAAACGATGTCACTTCGAGCTGTGTGTGTGTTTCCTTTTAAGATGGCTCTCTCAAGGAGACAGGAAGGCGAGAGGACCAACTTAAGTGTGTGTGTGTGTTCAGTATGTGTGTGTGTGTCTGGTTAGGTTGCTCAGAGACTCATGAATTAGCCACGACAGGCTGACAGATGCCTGGGGAGATGTTAAACACATGCACACACACACACACACACTGACTGACATGCATGCATAAATACAAATGATTAGAGACACCCACCAGTAACAGCTTTCTCTCATTGCTGGAGCTCATAAATCACATACAAACGCACACCTGATTGGACTGTAAAGTTGACTGTGTGGACTTGCACACCTATCTTTGTGGGGACCCTTGTGTGAGGACATTGCTGAGACCCGAGGACAGATTTTTTTAGAAGCAGAATCTCTACAGTCTTTGGTAGATGAGAATTCTCCAAACTGATTTCTATTCAGGATTTACTGAGTGCTGTATCCATTTATATAACATGCCTCTATTAATGAAATCCAGAAACAGCGTTATTTATATGACCTGATCCAGATGCTCTAAGTATGTCTGGTTTTGAAGAGTCCACATCTACTTAAAGAAAGTTGTGGAACACGTGCACACACACACATTCGTTTTCATATCTTAGTGAGGACATCTATTTGAAACAATGCTTTCCCTAGTCGCTTACCCTAACCCTAACCATAAAAAATTAATGCCTAACCCTTACCCTAAACCTAACCATAACCTATTTGAAACCCTGACACTAAAACCACATTCTGAGCCTCAAAAATGGCTTCAAACTCGTGTGGACGGGTATTTTGTTCCCATAAGGGCTGTTGGTCCCCACAAGTATTGTAGCAGGCCAATTTTCTGTCCTCACAAAGATGTCTAAACATGTACAAAGATATATACACACACACACACACACGTTTGCTGACCTGACTCTCTCCTTTGGGTCTCCGAAGGACTCTCGGAGTCGGGAGAAGTCGGGGTAGAAGTGGACCGACGGAGAGATGACCTCCAACAGACCCGACTGAATCTCTGCTGGAAAACTGAGAAACAAACGATCAATGTTCACACCAAGCCATGAGCTCCCTCTATGACAGCAGTAGGCAACTCCAGGCCTCAAGAGTCAGCGTCCTGCAAGTTTTACATGTGCCCTTGATCCAACACGGCTGATTCAAATTGCTAAACTACCTCCTCAACATGTCTTGGAGTTCTCCAGAGTCCTGGTAATGAACTAATCATTTGACCCAGGGTGATATCTAAAACCTGCAGGACACCAGCACTTGAGGCCTGGAGTTGCCTGCCCCTGCTCACGAGCTAAGGACAGAAGAATAAAACAAACATGCACATACATAAAGCTGTTCGGTGTTCACATTCACAACTCTACACAGAAACCAAGATTCCCTGAAGTCAGCTATGGGGCCAAGCCTGACACAAATAGGTTCGTATGGGATATAAATTCATGTTGCTCTGTGTTCACTAGGCCAAGCTAACATGACATGGTCAGCAGTTTGGAGGTGCTCCACAAATACAAAGTCAACACATTCCAATATGTTTGTTTGTTTGCAGTTTTTGACTTAATAATGCAGTCAAGCTTGTTGACACGACTGATTGTGGGCTGTGTGCGCTATAATTTACTGTCATGAGGCAACAACTCATTCACACACGACAAAGATTTATTGATACAAACTGTAACTTGTCCACTGTGAACAGTGACTTGATCCCACAATACAATAAGTTCACATATTTGAATTTCAATATATAAATATTCATGATGATATGTAGTGTTTCACTAATAAACACTAATCCAGAAGATTAATATTAATCAGCATATCAATCTGTTATATTTTATTTTCAGAAAATTAGGAAAGCGGCGTTTAAATCCAGCCTGATGTCGTCTTATACATGTAGGAATAGTTCCAGTCCCAGTCTACTTAACAGTGGTATTGTTATCTGAGCTGAAAATGTCCATAAAAGGGACCACACACACACACACACACACACACACACACACACACACACACACACTCATGTTGGCTGCAGTAGTAACAGCATCCTGTCATGCAGGTTGACTTACAGGCGCTTCAGGTTGTCTGCTACACTGCTGGCGTACTGTTGGTCAGCCTGAAAACACAGAAAAGCAGTTTAAGTCTTGATGTGAAACTCACAGCTTCGAAGCATCAGATGACTCATCAAGAGTGATGAAGTCAAGAATTCATCCATATAAGCTGCACTACACGCTCAAGTTACTTTAAGGTAAAGACTTTATGAATTTAGAGAGAAACCCAAACAGAGAAGCACTTCTGGGGTAAGAAGGATCTGAGAGGAGCAGCCATCTGCCAGGACCGATTTGGGGTGAAGAGAAAAAGGAGAGAGAAAGGAACAAAATACACACTATTTATTGATGTGCATCAGTGGCATATAAACACTTGGATGGTGGAAGGAGGAAGTTAAAAGTGCTCATACATCATAGGCAGGCTCCAGCAGCCTGAGCTTATAGCAATTTAAATAAGATCCAGTCCTAACTGTAAACTGTTGTGAAAATCAAGGTTTGAGCCCTTAAATCCCAACTGGGAGGTGTGATAGCTGAAGGCTCTGCCTCCCATTCTACCGTCACAAACTCTAGAAACCACAAGTGAGCCTGCAGCCTGAGAGGGAAGTGCTCTTTCAAGACAATAAGAGAAACAGTGGGGCATGATTATTCAGGTTTTTGTACATGAAAAGAAATATTTTCCTTTAAGAAAGATTTCATATCCAAGTGCTGTTCATTCTCTTCACTGCCCTATAATAAGGGCATAAAAGCTCAGTTCCATGCACTGCTGCAAGTGTCTCTCTCTCCCAGTCATTAATGCAGAATGGGTCCAAACAGTAAAGGTTACCATTTAATGAAACCATGGAGAGTAAAAACACAGCATCACTTCGAAATAGTTAGTCAGTTATTTCATAATGAGGCGCACCATGAAATTAATTTAATAGCTTAATTGTTGATGTATTTGCATGTTTAAAGTGAGGTAATTTACACTAAAAGAGCTCAATTTAAAGAAGCAGACAGCAAACTGAGAAAACTATAAACAGCAGGAGTCATAATAAGTCTAGTGTTTGGTGTCTCTGCAGTTTCGTGTGATTTTGTAGTCTAGTTATCGCTCTGTGGTCTTCAGGCCTGTCTCTTCGTGGCTGTTTAACATCTGTTTACAGCAACTGCTCACATGTGTGAAGTAACTGTGCATCACTGTACAGCTGTTTTATGTTGTTTAGCATTTCTCTGTAGCCACTGTGTTAACAGGCGGCACCGAAACACTTTTCCTGTCTTGCAGAATCATGCTCATGCCCAAGTATCTCCGACACGCAGTGTTCAAGTTCTCCTCACTTTTTCTTGTTGTGCACAATAACACACAAATGCACACACACTTAATTAATGAATGTTCACAAATACACACGGGAGGCTGAGGTCATCTCAATATTTTAGTTTTTTCCTAAAACACACACACACACACACACACACACACACACACACACACACACACACACACACACACACACACACACACACACACACACACACACTCTTGTTCAAGCTCAAACATCAACAACTTAAGAAATCGGTAACATCAGAGCTCGGCCCAATCAGGGCACAGATGGACTCCCTGTGGGACCCAATCATCTGGCTCTGAAGGTCACAGCACGGTCACATGTATTTCCAGCGCGCTTTTCCGAGAGTTTGTGGTTTGTTTTGGCATCCTGGAGGTGCCAGCTGGGTGGAGCTTACCGCAGAGCTCAGTGTTAACGAGAAGCAGACGCCATTAGAGCCTCTCGCTGATGAAACAAACACTAAAAGTATGACACATATTTTTAAAGGACCATATTTTATTAGAAAATGAAACGGAAAACTTCTCCACTATAAGAGAGGCAGGAAGGGCTTGTTAAATCTATGTCACTGACATGGAGCCCACAAAGTCTGAAATAAAAACTGAGCTGATTAGAGAACGAGACTCAGGTGGACAGTCACAGGAAACCACGACAGAGAGCTGATCTTTAAAGGTGAACAGAAAACAACCACAGCATACTAATACTACAGGAATCTGAACAATTAGCAAGAAGTACGACACAAGGAAACTGTACTTATCACAAGAAACCCTAACCAAAGGATCCATAACTCATAAGAAAAGATTAATAATAAAGAAATCAAAACAGGAAATCCAAACTCAGCCTAACAACAATCCAAAAAAGAGGAGTAGAAACCAGGAATCCAAAAGTGACTCAAAACCCTGGGACCACAATCAAGAGACCATGACATAATTATGCAGTTTTCCAAATTTTGTTGGTATAAATGTTCTGGTTTACAGCCGACTGCTGTGTCTTTTCCATGTTTATCGTAGTGGCCTAGGAGCCTGGTCATGACACCATTAACTGTTATCGTACATTAAATTGTAGTCACTTTAAATGGTAAAGAAAACACCACAGACTCTGATCTCTGACGCTGAAGCTAGAGGATCTTTTCATCTCTTCTCAGCCGTCTCTCTTGTATTACCTTTCAGCCCTATTCTGAGTCAGGTGACAGAGGAGATGATTGCAGACCTGTTCGTGTGAAATAAAGGATGTGTGGTGGATCTGTCGGGGGCCGGGACACCAGGTTGGGCTGTGTCACATGCTCCTCTGCATTTTGAATGGAACATGCTTTGGTCATGCAATATTCATGTTACACTTCTTTAAAAGCTTTAAGTACTTTCGTTCCTTGTTCGTCTGCATAAACAAACCCTGCTGAGACGCCATGTGACGAGTTTATCCGAAACCCAAAACCCCGAACCTGAACAAAAGTTAAATTAAAGCCAAGTTTTTAATTTTAATTTCAGCCTGAATCCAGCAAGTAAAGCTGAAATCTGTGACTATGAGATAAAAACAAAAACATTGAGAGGATTTTAAATATTATATCTGGAGGAAAAACAAACACAAGCATCCAACTGAAAAACAGATAGAAATTAAATTGCAGAACAGAAAGTAAAGGAAAAATAGCAAGATGGAAACAGCAGAGCAGAGAAATGTAGCTGGCTCTGAAACTGATCTGAGTTTATAAACCAGGGAGTCTTCAGCGGCAGCTTAGAAACTCTCCAGTCAGTCTACTGCAGTAGATGCTTGCACAACTTTGAGCTTTAGTCTCGGTACAGTGTCCTCTACCAACTCAAAGCTAGAGGTGTTTTTGTCCCAAAGAAATTTACATGCCAAACACTTTGCCTCTGGGGCTCTATTCTGCTTTCAGTATACAATTCAATTCAATTTTATTTATATAGCGCCAAATCACAACAAAAGTCGCCTCAAGGCGCTTCATAGATACAGAGAAAAACCCAACAATCATATGACCCCCTATGAGCAAGCACTTTGGCGACAGTCGGAAGGAAAAACTCCCTTTTAACAGGAAGAAACCTCCGGCAGAACCAGGCTCAGGGAGGGGCGGCCATCTGCTGCGACCGGTTGGGGTGAGAGAAGGAAGACAGGATAAAAGACATGCTGTGGAAGAGAGACAGAGGTTAATAACAGATATGATTCAATGCAGAGAGGTCTATTAATACATAGTGAGTGAGAAAGGTGACTGGAAAGGAAAAACTCAATGCATCATGGGAATCCCCCGGCAGCCTACATCTATTGCAGCATAACTAAGGGAGGATTCAGGGTCACCTGGTCCAGCCCTAACTATATGCTTTAGCAAAAAGGAAAGGTATTAACTATTGTTAGTTTAAAAGTAGACTCCACGACAGCTGTATGCAAAAATGATAAAATATATTTTTCCCAGTTGTTGGTACAAGGCAGGGATAACTCTTCTTTTGTTGTGCCAACTGAACCACTGGCTCCATCTATAAACCACTGCCTTTATACAACTGAAAGTCTTCTTGCAACCACAGGTGTCGCCCCCTGTTGGCCAGTAAAATGAATAAAGATTTAGGACACTTCCTAGTTTGTTTCATGTTTTAACATCTGTAATCTACACAGTCTCTGGCTGATATGCATGAACTGAAAGCTATCTCATGGAACTGAAAGTGCCAATTCATCCAAACCCCCCCTGGTCATTTATAAATTAGTTTAGCTAACATGCAAGATAGCCAAGTTATAAAGCTAGCCCTAACTTGATGTCCATGTGACCTTTGTATAGTATATACACTGCTCTCTAAGTTGTTGTACAATTTACATGATAGACAGCACATTCAGACCAACATAGCATTAATCTGACTCTTGCTCATGCAAACAACAGATTGATGGCTGGAAGTCGCATAATGGGTGCAGTTAAATAATGATGGTTTTCTAGAAGTTACAGTGAGCTCCTTTAAAGAGATTATCACTACTAATGGGCTTTCAGGTGAATTTGAAGAGATGCCATAAAGTACTGTGAGATTAACCAACACAGTATTGGATTGGATTTGCACAAATGAGATTTGACAAAACAGTAAGAAGAGATATGAACTGAACTAACATGAGATGAGAAGCTGTGAGTGAGAACAAACAAAGACAGTATAAACTGTGACCTTCATCACTGTAAAGACACAAACACACTGACTTTATTTATTAAAAGAGCATACAGCATACACATTTCGCAGATTGACTTTAATGATCTAATGTGTGAGCGCGTGCTCACACACACACACACAACATCATTGCTTTACCTCCCTTAGGCAATTAGAGGTTACCATTAGCATGGAAGCTAAACACGGAGAATCACTGACATTATCGGTATATGTGTGTTTGTGTGTGTGTGTGTGTGTGTGTCTGTGAGGTTCATTAGCTAAACCACTGGCCTTTAGAAACCATGCAAGGAAGCTCACGCATCAACACACACTCACTCTGATGGCCAATTATCCACGCACGTGTTTCCATCACTTCAGAGGACATCACTTGGACTTAGATTCTTTCTCAGAGAATGAACTGAACATAATCAAATCAATTCTGTATTTGATTTTCTTT